GGCACAGCACACACACACACACACACACACACACACACACACACACACACACACACACACACACTGTTAGACAGATGATCTGATCTAAACAAGCAGGACACCCGTGAAGGTGCAGAATGACACTTTGTGTCCTCTTACGAAGGTCCTAACCCACACACGGGGTCAGACCGAACACACACATACACACACACACAAGTGTGTTTTCACACGTCATTGCTAATCGTCACCTTTCCTCCGGATGTTACAGCTCAGGAGCATCCTTTTAACCACAATCAGCTCTGGTTTAATTGTTTCCAGATTAGAAGAAAGTCACTATGAAAAAACACAAACCAATAAAACAGTTTTTTTTTCCATAAATGAGACATAGGTTGGATCACCACCTTTTTTAAAGAATCATTTGAGCCGCTGAAGCAAACAGTTATTTCCAGGAATTCGTGCCTATCTCTGCTGTTATGTCCACAGACAAATTGTTTGAGCTGAGGTATTTTTCTGTCATGTGACCTTTGCCTTTGCACAGTTGTTTTGGGGCATCAGGAGCAAAGAGGAGGGAGGCGGGGCAGACAGGGAGGCAGAGGGAGAACAGAGGTTGTCGACAGGGGAAAGTTGCTGCTGCTGCCGCCAAGATCATAGGGAGGAGGAGGAGGAGGGCCATTAAGGAGAATGTTACATTGGCAGAAGATTTTATCTTCACTGTTAACAAAAGCAGACAGAAATGAAAGAGAAACAGACACAACCTCAGCTGCTTATTTCTGCATCTTCTGCCTTTCAAAGACAAGGTTTTGTGCCCAAACTGTTAGTAGCTGTGTTTCAATTGACCATGAAAATGCACAAATTATAATTTTGAAAATAAATTTGCTCAATGGAAACACGTCAATTTCGAAAAAAATTACGTTTTTCGACAAAAAGTTTTTGAGCTAGGATGAGGTGGTTTTTCAGCCGTATCGAAATTGGTGTTTTTCGAAAATAAAAGGAAACACTTTTTTCGCATTATGGGAGTCACGTGATCAACAACCAGTTGTTTCTACTGGCGAAAAAGACGATGACGAAGAAGACAACAGGAAGTAGAAGTAGTAGTAATATCACAGAAGTAGTAAAATAAAGTAATAAACTCACTGACTACAATTTCCCATAAACACAGCATACGTAACCGCTCCCAAGTCCCGCTTGCAGCTGGAAAGCCTCGATAAAACACGCCGATGTCTCCTCTGATGATGAGCGCTAGTGTCGCGGTAGCAATATGCTATGTGTTTACATCCATTGCCGCCATGTTTGTAATGACTTATTGTGAGAACAAACGTATTCACGCATGACTTTTATGGCATTTCTTATTTAATGGAGACACCGCAGTTGCGAAACTGTGTTTTTTCGACATTAACAGAATATCGACAGTTTTGCGCACATTTGCAATGGAAACGCATCTAGTGTTTTTGAGTGCCATTCAAAATGACCGATCCAGCTGTGGTTATAGACGGACCAGTTAACGGCACAGGTTTGTGGGTCTTTTCCATCTTTGCCCCATTTCCCAGCACCAGCATAAGGATCAGATCATCAGTTGTTGAGTGCTGCAGCTCGTGATATAGTTGTTTCTTTGTGTCACAGGATTTAAATCTTCCTGAAGTTACTTCCTTGTTTTTGCTTGAGTAAACCAACCGAGACCCTGCAGCAGTTTGCCAGAAGAAACACTTAAGGAGTGCCTACCATGCACACACACACATATAAGCCCACCACCCACCCACGCACACACATATGTTTTAACCCACAGGGGTTTTTCAGTACCTGCTAAGTGCTGATAGCCTTAGATCCCAGATATATGTGTTTGTGTGTGTTTTTGCAGCCAGGGCGGTTTCTGCATCTGTGAGCCAGGCCTGTCTGGACCTCCCCCCACCCCCACCCCCCCCCCACATTTGTCTCTCCCATGCCAGCAGTAGGCTATCCATCAAACTGGCATCGTTCAAGGAGCTGTGGAGCTGCAGCGTCTGCTGGGAGCAGCGTGTTCACATGAACCCTTCAGATAAGAGGCCAACATGATCAGCCATGCTGCTCACAATTATCCTCAACTAGACAAATGGACACGAATGACTTCAAAGGATGTTAAAAGTTCAAACTGATAGTTGGAAATTGATTTTAGATCTTATTTTTTGTAAAATTCCAGTCCTCACAGTGTTGCAGTTCATCATTTATGTGGCAGATCTTAATGTATATGTTGCAAACGTCTAAAATTGCTGTGAATGTTTTTTAATAGAAACAAAAATGATCAGATTCAAAACTAAATTTGTTACAACTTGACATTGTTTGATGAAAATACAGATGACGTGGATTAAAATTACTTTTTAAAGTCATAAATATAATTTTATTTGGCTAATTTGAGATTCAGCTCAGCCGTGACTTTGAGGTGTGTCACGATCACTTGATATTAAGGACTTCACTTCACTTCACTTCACAATTCAATTCAATTCAATTCAAAAATACTTTATTGATCTCAAATGGTAATTAGATGTTGAATTAACTCGTTTAACTAAAGACTTGTTGATGGTAATGGTTGTGGGCAGAATGTGAGTTAAGATTAGACTGATGTAATGAGAATTTAATAACCTCTGCTAACAACAGATAAAAAGAAATAAAACCATCCAAGTCTCAGTGAAAATGTAACAGGTTAATAATGCGTAATAAACATTTTTACTGAAGTGTTCAATCAAAATTGATATTTCTGTCAAATCCAGTGACAATGAAAATGTAATGTAACAACATCATGATTGTCTTAAATTGCCCTCAAAAGTGTGCTTTCAAAGAGAAAAATTTATGTTTTTGGCTCCATTCCTTATTTACATCAGCACACTCAGGAATGTTATCATTTGTTGCTCTCTCCTGTAGTCTCCATCAATCTACAGTCAGATAAAGTCTTCCATTTAAAGTATTTTATTTATATATTGCTACAAAACACTAACAAATCTGCAGGAAATAATTGATTTCTTTCATCATATTTTTCATCTCTCTCATATCTAATGTTTTGCTCTTACAGCATGTCTCAGGAAAATAAAAAGTAAAATGTATTTTTTTTTACCTCAGAGGGTAGGGTAGTAAATGATCACTGGTCTCTTTAGGTTCTTGTTTAGTAAGGATACAATTTATAAAACATATCCCAACTAAAAGATTATGGTTTTCAGCTGCAGTCAATCACACTAAAACAGCATTTATGACTAAAAGACTTGCTTGTGTTTTTGCTGCTTCGTGTCGTAATGTCAAAGAGACCCTCATTGCTTTAAAAGATTTTTTACTTAGAAAACTACACCACACTTGTTTTGAAACATTACGAAGCAAGAACAAGTTGAGAAGATTGTTTTACAAAAAAAAAAAACTATCATTAAAATTCAAACTTCAATTTTGAGCTTTCAAAAAAGAACGAAAGAAAACTGACCGTGTTATTTTATATATAACATTTTTCTGTATATTCATGGTGTGGAGCCTATAATATTGTTGTACCTCAAACTGAATATGACATGTACACTTGACCATAGTTTCCGTATATTTGACCACACTTCTACAGTTACAGTGAAGTATAAACACTGGTAGCATTAGCTTTATGGTGAAACTGTATCCTGCTCCTGACTATATTGATTGTATCCACGATGCAGTTAAGATGGTGACTCCTCAGTGTGAGCAGACTTCATCCCTCAAACCTGATTGACTCTGAATTTTCATTTAGTATAGATAAATCCCACTTTTTCGTTTGTTTTTGCTCATCCCAAGTGTGATGATTTGTGTATGTTGGTCACTTTTTGTGTAGAGGTTGTGGTTGTTTTCCTTCTAATTGATTGCAGATTGGCATGTGGGCGGAGACTGGGATGGACTCACCTGCACAGTGTTCTGCTGATGAGACTCTGACACCATTTAAGCTGCTGGCTGAGATCCATCCGATGCTGGAATATTCAGTCACCTCCGGTTCAAACCCCTGTGAAACCCTCTGAGGAGTTTTCTCTGGTTCCTCCCTCGTTGAAAGCTGTGAGCTTATCTGGGAACTGGATTTCTCTGTGAATCCTCCTCACATCTCCGCCCTGCCTCTCTCGTGCACTACCACCTACAAGAACAACCAAGACCTCACAAATCTCACCTACCTGGAACTCTTCTTCAACCTTCCCCTCCATGCCAGCCTCGACCTCAGGATCTCAAACCCTGGGCAAACACTGTAAATAAACTCACTTACCTTTTTTACCACTTGTGTCAGTTCCTGTCTTTTCACTGTCCGTCGAGTCTGATTTGGGTACTCAGTTAAAACGCAAACCTGATATTTTGTTGTTCCTCTGTGTGTTTTGTTAGGTTTATTATATCTGTTCCATCAGTCACTTCTCCTCAGTCAGTTTCAGCTCCCTTAGTCAGCCTTCTATGCTCATCTCCACCTACTCCCTGTTTTGCTTGTAACAGCTGCAGCCACTTCCCTCATCAGTCCCAGATTTTTGTACTGTCCACATCCTACCATGACAACCTAAATTTACCACCTGTGGGAATAATAAAAGCTTATCTTATCTTATCTTATCTTATCTTATCTTATCTTATCTTGTCTTATCTTATCTTATCTTATCTTATCTTATCTTATCTTATCTTAACTTATCTTATCTTATTGTGGCCACGTCAAACTGTTTGTTATCTTTACTGTTGAGTCAACTGCATGTGTCCACCAAACAGTATGGTCAGGAGATAAAGGCACTTTACAGCTCCAGCAACACAAATGAAAATTTATGCAAAATGACTGGCTGATGCAGATTACTGTGATCTCTGGATAGATGCTTTGTGGAACACTAAAAATAGACTGAAGAAATTGAACTGCATTACTAAATTATATTTATATATTGTTTAAAACACTTTTTAAAATACTATTTTTGGATACACTCAGAAATTTCTATAAGTTTGTTTTTTCCTACTTTCTTTACTCATAATTTTTGTCTGCTTTGTTTCCATGTTTCCATTTGCTTCCATTGCCGTCACAAAACAAGCTACACAAATATTCATTGCAGTTTATGGTATTTTCTCTTAGGGTTTCCATCAAAACATGCTAGATTATTTTGCATGATGCTTATTGATTTTAGAAGGTCATCCTCTGACCCTTGGCGGTGTGTATTTTTAGCCTGTGTCCCTCCTTCAACCCCTAAAACAGTTGTGATCAGCAGATTTAACTAACGGTCTGAGCCTGCCAGGTGGAAATGTCTTGGTGACTCTCAGTAACTCTCACGTCATTACAGAAATAGGGTTGTTGTTTTTTTTTTTTTTTGCAAGGATGAAAGCTTTGACAGTCATGAGGGAGGGGATGATGTCATGTGTCTGCCTACGGCTGGATGTTTTCTACACCAGTGAGAAAACAGAGCTCCTGAGAATACATCTGGAAGTTTAGCAGAGTGTAATTT